AACAGTTAGATTTTCAGGAACATGAGCACGTAACAGTTTTCCAGTTGACAAACTCAACATCTTTATCTGCTGAGTCTTTGTACCCCCAAGTTAGAATTAAGGTTAAGTGATGTTTTAAAAAATAAACACATTCCCCCACTCTATCTGTCAAGTTTGTCATGTAAGAAAATGCATAAAATCCTGCTGATCTCACCCACTTTATATCACAATCCTACCACTGCAGCCTTTACTCTTCCCCAAAATGTTTCATGATATACCCAACATCAACAAACTCCTTCTTCATTTAGACCACATGGTGTTGCCAAGACTTCCAGTTTATCCCTCCTACTTCCTAATGTCATGAAGCTTTCAAGGTCAGTGTTTTGCTTTAGTTCTGCATTTCTTACTGCAGTGCCAAGATTTTATAGATTAAATGCAGTGCTTTGCTTTTGCTTTGTTCTTACTCATATTACTAGGTTCTTCACTAATTTAAGTTTCCTGAAACTCCTTTTATTCCTAGGATTGTTCTGCAAAAAGAGTGCACACATTTTGTGATTCAAGGACTATCTATGGCTTAAGTGTCATGTAAAAATAGTGGATGGGGAAAAAATGAGAATTATTTCAATTATATTTTGCTTAATTTTATTGCAGACCGCAAAGAGATTTCGGAGATCTCTGAAACAACAATTTAAATGAAGAAACTACAGTTGATACTATTTCTATGCAATATTTCATATAATAATTTCCCTTTTCTGGCATATTAAATATTACATTTTGGAGACCTATGTGAACCACCCCCTCTCAAGTTTTTACCGGCTTCAGGAATCCTTTGACTCAAAGTTGTTCCCTTTTTCCCCAGTAAAAGTTTGTTTTGCATTTTATTTTATTTGAGGGATGTGTTCCCCACCAGTAGGAGCTCAGTAGTCTGAAGTCTCCAAGTGGGTTACTATGACTAAGGGATGCTGGGAACCTGGACTTCTTCAATTCTAGTGCAACACTTGAACTCCTTAATCACACATATTTGCATTTTAGCCACAATCCAACGTTGTATTAGATACAGTATGTTTATATCCATTTAAGCAAGTTATTTTTAATAGCTGCAGCCTATCCAATATCTTGAAGTTATGAGGTTGGTTTTGTAATGTAGTTCTGATTATGCTGTAAATATATCCCAGATATATTCAGAACTCTCTTTGTGTGACTGTGCTCGCACTTATATTCTTGCCAGGTTCAAAAGACAATTTCATCTAGCTGTGCTATACATCATTAAGCTTTGGGGGGGGGGAAGTTTGCCCATTACTGCTGTTTTAACATCTTACCCCATCTTGTCTCATTAGCAGGAACTGATTGAGCATGAAGGTGTTCCCTGGCTGTCACTAGATAAAGTAGGTGTTCTTGGCTTTCATCTGTTCTGAGTTCTCCTTGTCTCATTATCTTTGCAAGGTCAGTTTCTTTGACACAGGGATTGCTTGCTTAGCACTCCATTCTGGCAATTATTTGTCTGGCAAGTTAAGTGGATTCTAGGTCTATCTCAGCTGTGAAAGCATCTATATGTATAGGCCAAAATACATTTGACTAGCAGTCTAGTCCTGACTGAACAGTATATTTCCGTACTGCTTGAAATGCATTTGCTATTTTGAACATTACAAATGATAGATTGGTAACTATCACTGTTAATTGTAGGGAAATACCTATCATGTCTGCTAATAATATATAAAATACATACCCTAACAATTGGAAAAAATGTTTAGTTTTCAGCCCTCTAAATTAATACTTACAGTCTGTAGTAGCATATGCATCAGATTTCCATTCTGCCAGGCCTTAGTGAATGGATCAGAATCTATTGCTTCCTAATTCTCTCCTTCTGCAAAGGTTTCTGTTCCATCCAATGAATTGTGCAGTGGATTGCAATTCAGCAGCTATAGAAGAAGAAGAAATAGTTCTTATTGATGTATTATGACATGATAAAGAAAGGAGAAGAAAAGTATTCATTGTCATGAGTCACTGAGGTCTGCCCTCAAATCAGTTTTGTTCTTTGATGAAATCATATCTTGTAGATGAAAAGATTCAGATGTATAGGAAAAGAAAGAGCCACAGCTTTACTATTTGCCTCATAATGTGTTCTGCTCAGCCCACTGTCTTCTCTAAGGCTGGATTTTTACCATCTTTTTCATATGAATTAATCAGATGCCTATCTAGCAACTAATAGATTAATCTCAAAGTAAATGTGATTTATCTCATGAAAAATTTATTCTTTAAATGAGAATAAGAAAAGGATATGCAGTAGAAAGAAGAAAAACAACATTGTTTAGAAGTACTAAGCCAATTTGGTATAATAGTTAGAGTACCAGACTAGAAACCAGGAGGCTGAGAGTTTTAGTCCTACCTTAGGCACAAATGCCAGATGGGTGACTCTGGGCAGTCACTCTATCTCAGCCCAACGCATCTCACAGAGTTGTTGTTGTGGAGAAAATAAGAGGAGGAAGGAATATTATGCATGATCACTACCATGAGTTATTTATAAAAATAATAAAGGTGGGATATAAATTTATAAATAAAATATTAATGTTCAATTATGGGAGACAAGGCATCCATCTTATAAAATGTTTAGTACTGAATTTGATATTGAATTTGATCTACCTATTATAGAGTTCTGGATAAAGTCCCGAGTGGATTGTGTAGTCTTTGTTTCTTAATTGATATCAGGGCTGTAAAACCTTTGGCCCTTTAGATGTTGTGTTACAACATCCAGATATTGTATTTTCTGACTACTCTAGATATTTGGAGATACACCACTGAGTTCAAACCTTGAACAAGGCATTTGACATATTAAAATAAGCAGGAAGCTCCCAAATGGAGCAAGACAGAATTAATACATTGAGAGTTGGCATTGTCTTCTGGTAGGATAATAATGAGACTTAAGCATTTCATCAAGGTTGTAAAAACTGCTGCCTTTTCACTGTGTTCAATCTAACTCAGTAAATTATGTTTAAAATATTAAAATATCTATACTGATTGGGCTGATTGATTTTGTGTTCAATTTTGTGGTGTCTTCCCAATTCCTATGATCAAATTGACAACTTCATCCTAGCCATTTTTCCAGATAATAAATAGGCATCTAAACGATTTTGTGATTTATCTTTAAACCCTTATTTAAGACAATGGAAAAATGCATATATGCAATTAGAAGTATTCCTAATTATTTCTGAGATAGTGGTACTAAACTCAAAGATTCCTGCATAAAGTTTTCGTTGGTTAATCTATGCATAGTCAGAAAGCTAAGACTTTGTTCATATTATTATTTGAGTTACTGTAAATAGTAGCAATGAAGGAATTTCCCCACAAGTTGTATACTGGTATTAATTCTGATGATGATATTGTATTTATAAACCCAAGGATATCCCTCTGAGAGATGCTGAGAGATGTCAGAAAACTGCTAGAATTGTAATACAGAGACATTTTCAAGCAATAACTTTGTGATATCATTGTGACATGTACACTAAAACTGAAAAGTACAGAGGATTGGAAAAATGCAAATCCATAATAATGTTAATGTTTATTAGGTAGGAATACAACAACATGGCAATTTGGGTGTCCTACAGGCTACAGAGCCCTCTCTATAATAAAACTCTTTTATTGCATATTCATAAGTTGACTCTCATGCTTTAAGAACCATAGAATCTGGCTGTAGTAAATCTGGATTTGCCCAGGGTAGCTTTGCCAGGTCTAAAATTGCAAATAAGGTAGATTAAACTCTCTGCAAAAATAACACATTACAGTATAAAATATCAAATCATGTCTGATTTAGTGCACTTCAAGTGCTTCTGATTTGTCTAGTTATATCCATGAGGAAAGAGTCTATCTTAGGATTCTGTGAAGTAAACAGTATGTAGCCCTTAAGGTCAAACAAGTACAAAGTCTCTGAAATAAATGATTAATAGAGGTATAAAGCATGTCAGAGCTGGTTCTTGAGATTTGCTAAAATACAGATAAATTGGAATCTGACAAAAACAAATTGTGTTTAATAACCCTTAAAAATGTGATTCCTGAGGCATTTTGTAGCCCTCCAGTTTCCCCTTGTCCAACTGCTTTCATCTTAATTTATAGGAGACAAAGACTAGTAAAACTAATGTTAGAGCTTTAAATAATAAGATCACTTATAAAATCACTCCCTTTATCACATATCAAATGCATCGTCTTCCTTTTCTTCCACTAAAACTTTCTGGTTATATTATTCAGCAATCACAATTTATCATCAGCTTAGAAAGCATACTATTGAAAGGAGAACAGTGCCATTCATACTTAGAAGGAAAGTGCAATGTAATCTAAAAAGATATTGGATAATATTGATAAAAAGTAAGTTCAAAAAATGGTCTCTGAAACATGGCCTGGAAATTGCATTAAAGTTTATATCTTTGTTTCTTCATTCACCTTTGAAATAAACCTACAGACTCAAAATAAAAATCAAATTAAAAGGACAGCCAGCAGGATACAATTAAGTTAAGGCTGCAGAAAGGACTATCCTCAAAGTTCATGTAGCCACTAACTCTCTTTTGCAACCCCAAAGCCTCTTAGAGATTTAGAGGGGGGGAAATTACCCAACGTTGATTGTTGGGTAGAAAACTTAGGAGTAAAATGGGTATGTTAGACATTAATAATGTTTTACAGAGGTTTTGATTCATGAACTTTAAAGGGTTCTTCTTTAAATGTTAATTTAACCTATATGCATAGTCTAGGAGTTTTATAACAACAGGTATTGGCAGTTTTCAGATGATGGGAATTAATGTGTGCTTGTACTAAATGCCACAGGTACACCCCTCCTCCCCCAAAAAAGCAGCTGTGACATTGGGCAGAATTATTTCTTTTTCACTTGCCACTAGGGTTAAAATCACATGTCTAAATCTAAAACATTTTGCCTATTGCAGATAGAATCGATTGGTTTGATATCTTTGTTATGATTACCACATACAGTACATTTGCAAGGAGGGAGGGAGGGAGGGAGGTAATGTTATATAGAAAATTCAGCATCTTTGATTATTGTAATGTCCTGCCTTCTGTGTGACTATCTTGCTTTTGATGAGGAAAGTGGTAAAGTTTATAAGACAATGCTTCTTCTAACAGTAAATCCAAATCTTAAAAAGTTAAATGGCAATTAAGCATCAAGCATTTGTTTTATTTTCTTTAATACAGATACATTTTACTAATTGAAAGCAAAACAATACATATAAAAGCAGCAATTCACAGCTTTAGATATCAGCTCCAAATTAAAATAAGCACCATTTGCAATCAGCAATGTTCATATGCCACATATATGTATGTACAGCTGGTACAAAATTAAATCTGATTACTGTTTGTGTTGTATGCATGCTGCATATAAAGTAGTTTGTCACTGCCCCCAAAAAGAATAAATCCTTAGAAAACTATGAATACCGAAATACACAGAAATGCTGAAAATTCAGAAATACTGAAAAAATAGAAAGATTAATGGTGTGCAATGAGAAAGAAAATAAAAATGACAGAACAGATACAACCAACATCTCATTAGATGCTGAGTTTTGTACATTTGAAATAAATTTTATCTAGTATGCCTTGTTTCTGATAACATGTCACTGAGTTATACATAACAAGTTCTTGCTTATTGTTCAGTAGACACAATTTTTGCATCTATTTGTGCAAAATTAACTGTTGACTCCCACAGATTTTGTACTCTTTACAAATGGTGCCTGGAAGACTTTGTGAGCCTTATGGAAGTTGAGTCATGGCAACTGGACTTCTTTTCTTATTGGTTCAAAATGTTTTGTTGCTTATCCAAGTAGCTTCTTCAGTTTGAGCAAGTTGGTTAGGACGGCCCCATATATGTCATCCAGAGAAGTTTCATTTCTCACCTAGTCTCATTAGATGAGTAGGCAGAGAGTTATTGGGAAGTACATTTTACAGCTCCTAAACCCTTTATCTTAAATGGGTCCTTAAGTATAGCCTCCCCAGAGAACAGGTAAAGTAGTCTTAATCTTTCTGGGAACCGATGAAAGAGCAGCATAAAAAATTATGGACAGGTTGGGCCTGAGGCCTCCATCTTTAATGAGGGAAGAATTTTCCACTTTGGAATAAATGGATTTCTTCACTCCTCTCTCAAACCATCTACCTTCTCTGTCCAAAATGTGAATATTATTGTCCTTTAAAAAGTCTCTTCTTTTTTTTGTAATGAACATATGCTGCTGATTCTGCTCCTGTGTTGTTGCTTCTCTTGTACTGAGCCATTCTCTTGTGTAAAGGCTACTTGGTTTCTCCAATGTAGAGCTCTGAGCCCTCCTCACTAAGCTGGACTGCATGTACTACATTACTTTTCTGTAATTATTTTATTTTTATTTTTCTGTTCTTCTAAACCAGGAAAAATATACATAAATGAATGAGCTAAAAGAGGGATGGGTTTTGGCAGTGCCAACATTCCTTTCTGTATCCAGTCATCACTAATTGAGATTCCAAAAACTGGTGCTGTGCTTCCCTACTGTTTTCAGGTAAGAAAAACAACAAAAGAGTAATATAAAGCCCAATATAGGCTTAATTTATTAAAAAAAAAGAGAGAGAGACAGAGGCAAAGAAAATTTCCAAGTTACTTAAGGACTATGTAAGTCAACTATAGGCACAATGCCCTTAGTGTTTGATTCTTCTGCCCTTACCATCAAAATATTGCATATCCTTATTATGAAGACTTTGATGGAATTGAAAATGCTACTTAATACTATTTAATCTGAAGCGTCAGATTAAGTCAGGTTTCTATTCTAATTTTGAAGCCTATCAGAATTCAAATGGAAACTAGAATCTAGTTTAAAACCAAACCAGAAGTGATGTTGGAGAATAAATCTCTCCAGTTCTTACTGATGGTACAAAGCAAGCATGGGAGAAATCATGACCAGATTGGGATCATGCTGCTATTATGTTGAGGGTTTTTGTATGTAAGAATCTAGATTCTGGTGAAGCTTAGCAGACACAAGGTATACTATACACTACTTTTTGCATAAAACTGCAGTCTACATCTAGGGATAGGCACCTAGCAACAGACATCAAGCAAAATTATCAAACAGCCACTTCCTCAGCTGCTCCTGTCAAGTTATCATGCTTGTGTATTATAGTCTCCTTACAACCAGAGAGGAGACCAGACAGTTATGAGCCTGAGGAGCCAGCAGGCAGAAACCTACAGCAACTTCAAAAGAAAATCTGACTGAGCAGGTGAGACCTGTTTCCAATAGTGAGGGCCAGGTTCTGGTAGGAATCTTTGCCCAACAACATACTGAGAGCTGTGCAGAGCAGGACAAAGGCCATCCACACATCTTCTTGACAGAAAAGTGTTATTGCATTGTTGCCTCTCTCCTGTCCTATTACCCATCCTATCTGATTGAGCAGAACGAGCAGGCTTTAGGTCCCATTCAGATTCGCCTTCTGGTCCCATCAACCATGCTGGCCGGTGGGACCAGAAGACAAATCAATGCTATCATAGTTCCTGCCCCTGGAGAACATTCTGTCTCAGACATCAGGTTCGCCCTGACTCTGTTGGCCTTTTCTAATGTTTGAAGAGACCTGTCTCCTAGCTATATATGTGGCCTTCTCTGCTGGTGTGTATTTTAATTTTTGTATTTAATCTGTTTTTATTTGTTACCCCTGTTTGCCACCCAGAATCATTTGTTGAGATGAGCAGCTATATAAATTGATTAAATAATAAATGTCCTGATTAATCCATACCAGCACCCAGGGCTACATAAGAACATTGTCTCTTTTATTGTAATGCAGGAGTGTCAAACTGCTGGCCCATGGGCCAGATGCATCATGCCAAAACTGTACCCACCCCATTGCCGGCAATGGAAAAAAGTAGCAATACATCACAACACGTCATGTAACATTGCGAGTTTGACACCCCTGCTGTAATGCAACAACAAAGGCTTCTTTCTTTCTTTCTTTCTTTCTTTCTTTCTTTCTTTCTTTCTTTCTTTCTTTCTTTCTTTCTCTCTCTCTCTCTCTCTCTCTCTCTCTCTCTGTTTCTTTCTTTCTTTCTTTCTTTCTTTCTTTCTTTCTTTCTTTCTTTCTTTCTTTCATTCATCACTGGCAAAAGACATGCTGTTCCAGAGTAATGATAAGCTAATGCTGGGCCAAAATAATCTGAGAAAGGAGACATTTCTATTGCACTGGAGCCGTGGTGGTGCAGTGGTTAGAATACAGTATTGCAGACTGTGTGTACTCATTGCCAGGAGTTTGATCCTGACCAGCTCAAGGTTGACTCAGCCTTCCACCCTTCCGAGGTCAGTAAAATGAGTACTCAGCTTATTGGGAGCAATATTCTGACTCCGTAAACAGCTTACAGAGGGCTGTAAAACACTGTGGAGCAGTATATAAGTCTAACTGCTATTGCTATTGCATTCTCTGAGTAGTTGAATTTTCTTTTCAGATTTCTCCTGTTAGTGTTTCTGAGTTTCCAGACAAGATAACTGGCATAATTTTCTGGTAGCCGTCTGCTTCACTGGTTATCTAGTCTTTTTCATATGAAAAACACAAATATGATAAGGGAATTCAACCAAAAGATAAGAAATCAAGGAAGTTTCAGATCATCAAACAGGTAATTGTATAACTACCTATATCTTTAGCCATCTTATAAATAAATATGGCAAGAACACCATATTTATAGTATAAGAATTTCTAAAAAATATTTTCTTTCGAAACAATTTTCAAAAGCATAAGTCCTGGTAAGAAAGAAATGTTGTGGAAATTTTCTTCATGGCCTTATAGCAAACTATTAATTCTATAAAAAGGAATGGCTGAAATGTAAAATGGGAACTACAAGGCTGCCCTGTGATTGCTAGCTGAGTCTAAATGATACTAGCTGCATTCTTTCAGAACCAAAGCTAATCAAGTCAACACTTATAAAATCTTACATTACCATTCAATTATCAGTTCCTGCCTTTCCATGATACCACTTGAAATTCTGTATAAAATTTGTTATGAAAAGGCATGCTATTCGCTATGCCTTCATAGTACATTGAGGGCAAGATTTGCTCCATCATTAGGAGTAGTGCCTAGGAGGTACAAATATACAATTATCAAGATAGATGAGGCAAGGCAAATGTTGGAGATGTGGCAATAAAGATGCGACATATTTTCATATTTGGTGGAATTGTAAAAAAGTAAAGGCATTTTGGATTATGATTTGGTGGAACATTCAAAAGATTTTTAGAAGGAAGATAAAGTTTACTCCTCAACTATTTTTATTGGGTATCTTTGTGGATTTAAATGATAAAGAAACTATTTTGATGTTGAATTTATTAACTGCCGCAAGGTTATTAATAGGTTTATATTGGAAGAAAGATTCTTTGCCTACTTTAGAAGAATGGGTATTTAAAGTATCTAGTTTTGCAGAGATGGCAAAAATTTCTGCCTATTTAAAGGATCATACACAAGAAAGATATATCACTGTATGGAGAAGATGGATAGATTATATTCAGAAAAAGTATGGAACTAAAAAGTTTCACTTATTTTATGAATGAATATTATAGTAAATATTACAGAGAATTGTCTTATAGGCTATTGGAGTTAAAGGTTAAGTATGATATTTTTTTTTCCTTTTTTATTATTATTTTTTTCTTTTTTCTTTTTTTTCTTTTTCTTTTCTTTTTTCTTATTATTATAAATCCTTTTAATTATTAACCCTGTATTCTGCTCTGGGAAGTGAAGGGAGGGGGGTTGGGGGTGGGAGGGAGGAAATGTGGGGGGTAAGAGTAATATAGATAATGGTTGCTTATAGGGGTGCGGCCTGGGCACTCCCCTTATGCTGCGTTCATGGGTTTGATAGGGATGAGAGGTGGGCAAGGGTAGAGAGGAAGCAGGGTAGTGAGAGGAGAAGGGGAGGGGAAGAGAGTAGGATGGGAGGTGAGAAAGAGGAGGGAAGTAGGGAATGTTTTAAGAGAGGGTGGACGCGGCCTGGGGGGAGTGCGCAGGTCGTAATAATGTTTATTTTATCTTAAAATTGTATTGTATACTGTTTTTTTATAATGTTTATATGGAAAAAATAAAAAACTTTCATTAAAAAAAAAAGATAGATGAGGCAAGATGACCGTTATTGTCATTTTTTTTACTGTGGGCCGAATGGCACACATCAAAAATGAAATTTAGTTGCCTGCTCTCAAACTGAAACACATACATGACATACACCTAAACATACTATATACAACGTATGTACAGACCCACACCCCTACATATACATAACAAATAAATATTAAATACTATCTGTTATGTCCCGAGCCTTGCAAACGGCTCGGGCGTTTGCAGGCAGTCCTGGGCAGGTGCAAAGCTGCCCGGGACCAGACAGGCTGTCGCCAGCGCCGTGCGCATGCGCGGGTGCTGGCGCGGGAAAAGTAACACATTTACCCGGGAAGCGTCTATATAAGAAGCTGGGAGGTTTGGGGAGCTGCTGAAGCCATCTACTTGTAAGCTGAACGCTGAATAAAGGAAACTGAGAACTTCAACTGCTTCTCGTGTCTGCTTCCCGCCAAGGACTCAACACTGGCGACGAAGGTGGGATGCCTTGCACTACCTGGAAAGGAAGAAGTGTAAGCTTACCCAAGGAGTCCTGAGCGGCGGAAAGGAACGGCGTCGACTCGGCAGCTGCCCGCCAATCCGGTGCGCATTCGGGGGTAGGCTGGCTGATAGACCCGTCTCCTGAAGATCTAAAGATGGCAAAAATCGGAAGGCTTTCGGAATTCGACGTCTCACATCCAGAGCGGTGGGAGTCATACGTAGCCAGGGTGGAGAACTACTTCAAGGCAAACCAAGTGAGGGAAGAGAGCTTGAAGGCTGCCACCCTGCTTTGTGTTTGCGGTCAAGACGCCTTCGACATCGCAGAAAACCTTGCAGCACCTGTTCCAGTAGAGTCTGTCAGCTACACAGATCTGAAGAAGCTACTGAAAGAGCACTTCCACCCCAAGATGTCCGTCATCGCATGGCGCCACACCTTCGAGCAGAGGGATCAACGGCCCGGCGAGTCGGCCAAAGAATTCATCACCGCATTACAGAAGGCCGCCAAGCACTGCGAGTTCAAAGACCTCGAAGAACGACTGAGGGACCGATTCGTGTGCGGGTTAAGGCATCGAGATCTACAACAGAGACTTTTCGCTAAAGAAGAACTGTCCTACCAAGATGCCTTAAGGGAAGTCACCGCAGAAGAAGCAGCAGGCGGCGCTATCAAGAACATGCGGCCGATCAGAAACAGTCCAGAGGTTGCATCCGTGCACCAGGAAGACGCCCAAAGAAACTCCGAGGAGGATCCGGACGAGGAAGTCGACCGTCTCCACCCCACGACGGAAGAAAAACAGAAGGGAAGCTCTTAAGCTCCGCTCAAGTGCATCGGCTGTGGAGGTCGCCACAGGAGAACCGACTGCAAGTTCCGCTCCGCTACCTGCCGGGCATGCGGCAAACAAGGACACATTGCAGCTGTGTGTCTGGGCCAACGAAAGGTACAACCTCAGGAAGAACCGCGCCTGAAAAGTACCAGATTCCCCAGCAAGAATAGGGTAGGGTTTTGCGCTTCGCGAAGAAGCATCCTTAGGACAGGCACACAAAAGCCAATTAAGAAAAAGCTGTCACTCAAGGTGAAGCTACAAGGGGTTCCATTATCTATGGAACTAGACACAGGGTCTGCCTTTTCAATTATCTCATTGCATACATTTAGGAAGATTTGTTCCGGTAGTGGAACTCAGGCCAAGTTAAGGCCTTCTGACATTGTGTTAAAAGATTTTCAAAATTCAAGAGTGTGTGTTAAGGGGGAGGCCACCCTTAACGTGCAATACAAGAGTTTTGAAGGTCCACTAGACTTATTAGTAGTAGGGGGTGAACGAACGAGTCTCATAGGACTCGATTGGTTTGAGGCCCTGGGGATACACGTCACAGGACTCAACAGTTTACAAACACTCGACCTACAGGAAGTCTGCAAAGAATTTGCAGATGTTTTCAGCCCCCAGCTGGGCACATTCAAAGGACCCCCTGTGTCCTTAAAGCTAGACCCCACTGTCACTCCCATTAGATTAAAGCAAGAAGGGTCCCTTTTGCTTTAAAGAGTAAAATTGACACTGAGTTAGACAAACTGATTCAACAGGGAATCCTAGAACCTGTTGATTCCAGTCCTTGGGAGACCCCCATTGTCACGCCTCTAAAGGCAAATGGGGACATTCGCATTTGTGCTGACTACAAATGCACTCTGAATAAGGCATTGCAGCAACATGCCTATCCTGTTCCTGTGGTCAGTCATATTCTGGCCTCCTCAAGGGGGGGGGCGTTTTTGCAAAGCTTGACCTAGCTCAAGCGTATCAACAGCTGCCTGTTGATGATGATGCTGCTATAGCTCAGACTATTGTGACCCACAGGGGAGCCTTTAAGGTAAAAAGGCTGCAGTTTGGAGTGAATGTCGCTCCTGGGATTTTCCAAAGCATAATGGAAAACACACTACGGGGTATACCAGGGGTTTGCCCCTACTTTGATGATGTCTTAATTGCAGGAGACTCCACACACATTCTAGCTGAAAGGCTAAGGGCTGTTCTGTTAAGATTCAGGAAGTCAGGCCTCAAGCTCAAAAAAGACAAATGCAAGATTGGGGTGCCTTCTACTGAATTTCTGGGGTTCAAAATTGATGCTGCTGGGATTCACCCTGCTGAATCCAAACTGACAGCTATTTTAGAAGCACCTAGGCCAAAGTCCAAGGCCGAACTTCAGGCCTTCCTGGGCCTCCTGAATTTCTACAATTCTTTTCTTCCACATAAAGCTAGTGTAGCTGAGCCTCTTCACAGGCTACTAGACAAACAAGCAGTGTGGCAGTGGTCACATACACATGAGGCTTGCTTTAACAAAGTCAAGGCCTTGCTCACTTCTAACAGTGTACTTGCACATTTCAACGAATCTCTTCCTGTGTGCATCGCATGTGATGCGTCCCCTTACGGGGTAGGAGCTGTCCTGAGCCACCTCAGGTCTGATGGAACTCAGGTTCCTGTTGCATATTACTCCAGAACATTGTCTTCTGCTGAGCGCAACTACGCTCAGATAGACAGGGAGGCTCTGGCTGTTGTCGCTGGAATTAAAAAATTCCACGATTTTCTCTATGGCAGGCATTTCACGGTCTTTACTGACCATAAGCCTCTGCTGGGACTGTTTACCACACGTAAGCAGACTCCCCAAATCATTTCCCCTAGAATGCTTAGGTGGTCTATTTTTCTGTCTGCATATGATTTTTCTTTACTCCACAAGCCTGGGAAAGAAATGGGCCATGCTGATGGCCTCAGTAGATTGCCTCTGCCAGTAGTAGAAGCTGACCCTGCGCCAGCTGTCAACATTCTATCAATCCAAGCCTTGCCCGAGCTCCCTCTTTGTGCCAGGGATGTTGCCGCTGAAACAGGTACAGATTACACACTTTCACGTGTCCGTTCCTGGGTTTTGTCCGGTTGGCCTGAGCACTGCCCTAGTCCTGAGTTTCAGAGTTTCTGGTCCAAAAGAAACGAGTTGTCCCTTTCTCAGGGTTGTCTGCTTTGGGGAAACAGAGTTGTCATTCCCTCCTCAATGAGGACTAGGGTCTTAGAATCCCTCCACGAGGGTCATCCTGGCATTGTTCGTATGAAGGCTCTTGCACGCAGCCACTTGTGGTGGCCTGTTTTAGATAAGGATATTGAGGCTAAGGTGCATGCATGCCACCTGTGCCAACGATCTCGCCCAGAGATGCCCCAAGCTCCCGTGCATAAATGGGAGGAAACGCAGTCCCCATGGTCTAGGGTGCACATTGACTACGCTGGGCCCTTTCAGGGCCAGTTCTTCTTGGTCCTTGTTGACAGCCATTCAAAATGGCTTGAGGTTGTACCTGTCTCTTCCACCACCACTGCAAAGACTATTCAGGTACTGAGGGGGATTTTTGCTGCACACGGGCTTCCAGATGTCATCGTGTCTGACAATGGCCCTCAATTCACTTCCTCCGAATTCCAAGCTTTCTTACAGGCTAACATGATTCATCATGCCACGTCTGCACCCTTTCACCCGTCCACCAACGGTATGGCTGAACGTATGGTGCGCATCACAAAGGACGCCTTGAAAAGACTCACCTACGGGGACTGGCATCACAGGTTGGCTGACTTTCTCCTTTCTTATCGCACCACACCATCCACTTCTACAGGGAGAAGCC